TCACTCTCACTCTCTCTCTCTTTCTCACTCTCACTCTCTCTCTCTTTCTCACTCTCACTCTCTCTCTCTTTCTCACTCCCACTTTCTCTCTCTTTCTCACTCCCACTTTCTCTCTCTTTCTCACTCTCACTTTCTCTCTCTTTCTCACTCTCACTTTCTCTCTCTTTCTCACTCTCACTTTCTCTCTCTTTCTCACTCTCACTTTCTCTCTCTTTCTCACTCTCACTTTCTCTCTCTTTCTCACTCTCACTTTCTCTCTCTTTCTCACTCTCACTTTCTCTCTCTTTCTCACTCTCACTTTCTCTCTCTTTCTCACTCTCACTTTCTCTCTCTTTCTCACTCTCACTTTCTCTCTCTTTCTCACTCACTTTCTCTCTCTTTCTCACTCTCACTTTCTCTCTCTTTCTCACTCTCACTTTCTCTCTCTTTCTCACTCTCACTTTCTCTCTCTTTCTCACTCTCACTTTCTCTCTCTTTCTCACTCTCACTTTCTCTCTCTTTCTCATTCTCACTTTCTCTCTCTTTCTCACTCTCACTTTCTCTCTCTTTCTCACTCTCACTTTCTCTCTTTCTCACTCTCACTTTCTCTCTCTTTCTCACTCTCACTTTCTCTCTCTTTCTCACTCTCACTTTCTCTCTCCTTCTCACTCTCACTTTCTCTCTTTCTCACTCTCACTTTCTCTCTCTCTCTCTCTTTCTAACTCTCACTTTATCTCTCTCTCTCCCACTCTCACTTTCTCTCCCACTCTCACTTTCTCTCTCTCTCTCTCTTTCTCTCTCTCTCTCTCACTTTCTCTCTCTCTCTCTCTCACTTTCTCTCTCTCTCTCTCTCACTTTCTCTCTCTCTCTCACTTTCTCTCTCTCTCTCTCTCACTTTCTCTCTCTCTCACTCTCACTTTCTCTCTCTCTCACTCTCACTTTCTCTCTCTCTCTCACTCTCACTTTCTCTCTCTCTCTCTCTCACTTTCTCTCTCTCTCTCACTCTCACTTTTTCTCTCTCTCTCACTCTCACTTTCTCTCTCTCTCTCTCTCACTCTCACTTTCTCTCTTTCTCTCTAACTTTCACTCTCACTTTCTCTCTAACTTTCACTCTCACTTTCTCTCTCTCTCTCACTCTCTTTCTCTCTCTCTCTCTTCTCTCCTCCTTCTTCCCTCATCCCTCTCCCCCTCCCCACCCCTGTCTCTTCTCCCTCTCCCCCTCCCTCTCTCCCTCCTTCTCCATCTCTCCCTCCCAATCTCTCTCCCCATCTCCCTCCCTCTCTTCCCCACCACCACAAAAGCCCCGCCCCCAATACCCTCCCCCCAGTCACCCCCTGCCCCCCACCCCCTGGCACCTTCAGCAGGGACGGAGAGAGACAGAGTGCCGTGGGTGTTAATGCCCCTTCTTGCCCAACAGCAGGGGGCCGGTCGAAAATGGTCAAAACTGACAATGAGTTCTACAATACATGCCGGGCCTTCGCTTGAACTGTGGAGGTTGACTAGCAATATGAAGGGAATGGAGGAGAAAAGGGAAGGAATGGAGGAGGGATAGGAGGAGGAGGAGGAGGAGGAGGAGGAGGAGGAGGAGGAGGAGGAGGAGGAGGAGGAGGAGGAGGAGGAGGAGGAGAAGAAGAAGAAGAAGAAGAAGAAGAAGAAGAAGAAGAAGAAGAAGAAGAAGAAGAAGAAGGAGAAGGAGGAGATGATTTAGAAGACAAACAAAAGGCAGTGAAGAAGACAAAGATGAATATGGAGAAATAGAAAGTAAGAAGAAAATTAAGAAAACAACAAAGAAGAAAGAAAATAATAATAATAATGATAAGAATACTTATTTCAATTATCATTATATATTATCATTATAACAATAACAGTAGTAGTAGTAGTAGTTGTATTACTGGTAATAATAATAACAACAATAACAATAACAATAACAATAACAATAATAATAATAATAATAATAATAATAATAATAATAATAATAATAATAATAATAATAATAATAATAAAATAGAGGAAGAGGAGGATGGGCAGGGCCAGGGGCAGGAGGAAGGGGTAGGGGTAGGGGCAGGAGGAAGGGGTAGGGGTAGGGGCAGAGGCAAGGGTAAGGTACAGGGGCAGGGGCAAGAACAAGAGACAAAGGCAGGGGCAGGGCAGGGTGCAAGGTGCAAGGGGCAAGGGGCAAGAACAAGGGACAAAGGCAAGAACAAGGGACAGGGGCAGGGGTGCTGAAGGTTTTTAAAGTAGAAAGAGAAAATCTATAGACCCAGAGAAGTCCCCCCTTAAGAGCAAGGCCCAGCCACAGAAATGGCCTTAGAGAAAGTTTTACAGGAGAGAGTTGGACGGGGGAAAGGGTGGGCCTCTCAACGGCTGCTGGCAATCTTGACCTCAAACACGGTCTATCCACCCAAATGCATCCCCAAGGAGACACAAAAGATATAAATAAAGAAAGGAATAAAAATATATATAAACATGGAAAAAATAGGAGTGTTTGTCCAAGTATGTTTGGCCTACATTCCACATTTTTTATCATAATGTTGTGAATTTATGGTTACACAAACATATACACACAAATGAATGCAAAAAAAATAGACATATGCACATACACTATGCACATATGAATACACACATGCACACACACACAAACATACAAAAACATGCACACATAAACACATGAATAAACATCAAAGCACACACAAGCAGACACACCAAAGAAGAAAAAAAAATGCAATGAAAGAAAGAGAAAATAACAAACACTAAAGATAGTTTATCATTACATAAGTCTTTCTTACTAAGTATCTATGTTTTCCTTAACCTTCAACCAAACTCTGTGAAAGTCCATAAATGAGCACAAGAGTATGTAAGAAACAAGTCTATATATTTTTGTTCAAAGCAAGCTATATATTTATTTATATGACAAACCAGCAACGCTACAACAGCTATAATCACAGTGTATAGACATCATAATTCCTAACACCCTATATGGATATATATGTATATATATATAAATATATATGTATATATATATAAATATATATATATATATATATTATATATATATATATATATATATATATATATATATATATATATATATATATATATATATGTGATGAACCGCATTCATGTCAACGAATGTAGAAAAGGTATGAATGAGAATGAGTATCTTCACAATACAATAGATGTATTTGACCGGTTTCGAACTATATCTTCGTCAGAAATACATTCTCATTCATACCTTTCTACAATATATATATATGTATATATATATATATATATATATATATATATATATATATATATATATATATATATATATATATATATATATATATAATATATATATATATATATGTATATATACATATATGTATATATATATATATATGTATATATATATATATATATATATATATATATATATATATATATATATATATATATATATATATATATATATATATATATATATATATGTATATATATATATATATGTATATATATGTATATATGTATATATATATATATATATATATATATATATATATATATATATATATATATATATATATATATATATATATATATATATGTATATATATATATATATGTATATATATATATATATGTATATATATATATATATGTATATATATATATATATATATATATATATATATATATATATATATATATATATATATATATATATATATATAATATATATATATATATATATATATATATATATGTATATATATATATATATATATATATATATATATATATATATATGTATATATATATATATATGTATATATATATATATATGTATATATATATATATATATATATATATATATATATATATATATGTATATATATATATATATATGTATATATATATATATGTATATATATATATATATATGTATATATATATATATATATATATATATATATATATATATATATATATATATATATATATATATATATATATATGTATATATGTATATATGTATATATGTATATATGTATATATGTATATATGTATATATATATATATATATATATATATATATATATATATATATATATATATATATACATATATTTATATATATATATACATTTTTATATATACATATATTTATATATATATATATATATATATATATATATATATATATATATATATATACATACATATACATACATACATATATATATATAATATATATATATATATA